AAGCAATTTTGATTTGTTACAACAGCTTCAGATCATGATATGCTTGAGGTTTGTTACACCATTTGCCAGACAAATCTCTACAAAATGTGTATCAATTCCCAAACTAAGTAATTGATCATATCAGTATTTGCAGTTTCCACACAATGTTTCATAATACTATTCTATGTTTATATAAAGAAACTCAAATAATCCACAAATTGTTATTGAAACACTCCCACTTCAAGAATTCACAGCAATAACAGTACAAGTTCAGAAGCAAACAAACATTGCGCCACATTTCGTATGAAACGCGCCATCGCCCTGAAGTTTCTACCACAGACGGTAGTTCAACCGCAGCCGTAGTGCTAAAACCCCTACCCACCTTACCCCACGGCGGAGCTCGGTTGCAATTTGTAAATACGCCACCCGACCGACCGGCCGCCGCCGCGCGGCACACGCAAGTTGTTAACCCACTCTGCGGAATGGTTCGGCTCTCCACCCGCCATATATGCGTCATGTAAACCACTCACTTTCTCGACTATCTTCATTGTATGGAGAAGAGTACAGCGTGTATGCCAGTGACCGGCGTCCCCACTGTGTGTTCGGACTAATTTCCGATGACGGGAACTGCGCTTCAGTGACGCGTCCAGCACGCGTCACACCGCAGACAGGACCGTTGGAGTCTCTCAGTCAGTCACGCGGCACCTCGAGACGTGCGTGACGCACCAGGCCGTGACGTGACGAGTGTTACGTGACGTCTTCATCACGGAAAGGATTATTGCTGATCCTCCCTCTCCCTCCCTCCCTCCCTTCCCTCCCTCCCTGCTTCTTTCTTTCTCTCTCTCTCTCTCTCTCTCTCTCTCTCTCTCTCTCTCTCTCTCTCTCTCTCTCTCTCTCTCTCTCTCTCTCTCTCTCTCTCTCTCTCTCTCTCTCTCTCTCTCTCTTGCTATCGCTCTCTCTCTCTTTCTCTCTCACTCTCTCTCTCTTTCTCTCATTCTTTCTGCTACTGGCTCTTATGTTATCACTTTTTCTCATTATTATTTTCATCTCTCTTCTTAAACTTGTCATTTTGCCTTCTCCTTCTTAACGTATTCTTTTCGTCCAATTCTTTCTGTTTTCCTTTTGCGTCTTACCGACGTTAAAAGTATGTGGATTTTAGAAATCACGGCCTGCTGCTCTCAAGAGCCAAGAAACGTCGAGACATCGACGCAGATTCACGTACCGTGTCTGAGTAGCGGTCGCAGCACCGGCAGCGGCGGTGGTGGTTGTGGTGAAGCCTCAGCGGATGCTTACGGAACTTCGCACTGTTAGCTTTGCCGAAGGGCCCCGAATAGGCTCCGAATGTCGGTTTGACGCGCCGAGGCAGCGGTGTGTGAATTATAGCAGTCGGAACTGCGACTCGACTCAGCCGGTGAGAGGATTCTGCAGCAGCATTAGTCGCGCTGTTTGCAGCTTTGTGCAGGTGTTCCGGCGGTGAGCCGAGAGACGTCAGAAAATGTGGTTCCGTGGCGGTATTACTTCATAGATAACGGGAGGGCGATTGTTGTGACAGTGAGTGATTTGCAGCTCACTCTGCCACGCATTGTAATTGCGTAACGGATCTGACATAAGCTGTAAGTATTTCCATTAGACATAATTTGATCACGAAAAGCGCATCATTGCCAGTGCAATCACAAGAGAACGGACGTGGCTTTTATATCAGCAGGGAAATGCGCATGTGCAAGTTTAATTATGACCATCGTGAGCCAATGCAGCCACCACCCGCTAACCAATAACAACACACAGGGCATGGGGCGACTCCATTACTCAATGTCGACATCTAAGCTACGCTCTGCTACACACGAGCCTGAGCTCCGTTAGCTTCCCAGCATGTAAGCTAGCGCACATACCAAATTACTCCAGCCAGTCATGCACGACCCCTCTAGCATAACTTCCCCTCCCTCTGCTGTACAGTCTGTCTTAAAAGTACCGCGCAAAGTGACGGTGGATCCATCGAGCCTGACTGAGGAAGGGCCTGCTTAATTTGGGTCACCAAAGCAATTGACATCCTCGTCCATTCCCTAGGTCAACTGGCCGGTGACTTTCAAATTAAAACAGGCCCTTTCTCGGTCAGGCTTGATGGATCCACCGTCACTTTGCGCGGAACTTTTAAGACAGACTGTACATACCGCTTCATTGCCTCTTTAGCAAGGTGTGGTTGCCAACGCGCAGCCAAAGAGCCACAAAAGGTCATGTTCAGGTCACCGGGCGCGCCCTGAGGTCACTGGGCGGTGACGAGACACGCTCTGGTCGTCTGTCGTATGTCACAAGGGTCACACATGAAAAGTTCATTGGGTTCGATTTCTGAAAAGTACACAGAGGCCACGCTCAAAATACGCGTTTACTTCATACGTGCTTGGCACATGGATGAAATGTGTATTGGTGGACCTGTGGCAAACAAAAATATCATACAAGTCCAGGCTCATTTCGGCTACCACTCATATGAGCTCATTCGTGTGACTTTTTATAACTTCTGCTATCACGAAACTTCATGATTGACCAATTTTGTCCACGAATTCTGAGCGTCGCGTCACGCAGCATGTACCCAGGACAGTCAGACAAACAAAACTCCCACCGTCAAACGGTTTCGTGGTGGGTTTGTGGGAGACTGAGCACTCTGAACTCCGAGATCACAATGCGTGGCCCCTACGATTGTTGACGACGAATTGATGATGGGATGTTTGCTTATGGAATAGCTTATTTGTGTGTGAGGATCCGTGGAAAAGATTTGATTGTTATTTTCTGTGGAATAAAGATCCCAACACGTTTGACGAAGTATAGCACCTACATGAGGTTTCAAATACGCTATGTTGTAGATTCCGTGAGCTTGAAAAGGATGATGTGCTGTTTAGGGTTTAAACCATAGACGTGCCATTGACAGAGGTTACAACAGGCCGATGAACCTGAGACTTACTCCATCGGTGATAAAAGTGCACTTGTAATGTGTATGTGTGTTAGTACATAGTTCCCAAAACCTACACGTTTATCATACAGGGTGTTGCAGCTAAATTGGGAATTTTTCCCGCTTACACTTAAAGTGGCATAACTCAGTAGAATGAAGAGACAGAGCTTTCAAACTTTGAACGTGTATTGACGCACATGTTCTCTACCCTCTCACTCAATGTGGCCACCATGAGCCTCCTTCACCATCTCCAGGCGGCGTCGGAACGCGCCGCACGCGCGCTGAGCCTCCATAGGATCGATGCTGCTGGCTGCCTTCTTGATGGACTTCTTGAGGCTCGAGATGCTGTCATGGGCACGTGCGTTGGACCTCTCCTCAATCGCGCTCCACATCCAAAAGTCGCACGGATTTAGGTCGGGTGAGTTTGGAGGCCACGTATCCTTTGGGACATACAGAGGGATCTTCCGACTAAGGAAATCCTGCACCCTCCGGGAAGCATGAGCTGGAGCCGAGTCCTGTACAAGTGTGACTTTCTTCAGGTCGTAGTACTTCGCCATCCAGGGCAAAAGCACTTCTTCTAGGATGGCCAGATACTCCTCTGCGCCGATTCTTTCTCCAGCAGGTATGAAGTGAGGGGGCATGACGCGACCGTCGCTCGCGACGGCTCCGAACACCATCACAGAGGCTGGATTTTTGCTTATCATCACTGGTGGAACATCACCGGGGTTCGAGGCGATGACTCTTGAGTTCCGGCGGTTGGCAACTTCGTCTACCACAAACTTCTTTTCGTCCACAAAGACTCTCACGTCTCCTCCATGGTTCTTGAGCTGGTTCAGAACCATCGGGACCCTCTCCTTCCGTAACGCTTTTAGACGCTCCGTCAGAAGGTTCTGCCGTTTCCTACTATACGACCTCATCCCGAGGTTCTCCTTGACAGCCCTGCTAATGGTGCTTTTGCTCACCCTTCGGTCTCGCGCTAGCTTACGCATTGAGACACCTGGTTTGGCCTCAATAGACCTTTTCAAGCCCGCGAGAAACCGAGGATTCCGTTTGCGGTCACTTCGCGGCGCATGGGGACGTCTACTGACATCTCCTCCACCGTCCATAGTAGCGACAGTGCGATATACCGTAGACTTCGGGTATCCTGTTGCGATAACGATCTCTTTCGCGCTTTGTCCAGCGCGAACTAATTCAGCAACTGTACATCTACGCTGTTCCTCCATGACTGTTATCGGTTTTCGTGCATCAAAAATATTAGCACGTGAAAGAGCATTGTTGAAATAGTATCATGTCAAATTTTCAGCCATATCCTCCAAATAACAAAATTGTGATTAGGTTACGAACTTTGTCCCAATTTAGCTGCAACACCCGGTATACCCGTGCCGGTGAATATAATTTACAATAATCTCAATGTCTTGAATATGAAGCCAACAAAAAGTGACCTGAACTGCTGTCTGTAATAAGGCCACTTTTAAACGGCGCTTTTCTCGTCAGTCAGATTTTCAATCGGGGAATAGTGTTACGTTCTCTCTATCTGATCCGATTAAAAGCACGCGAATCACAGAACAGCACAAAGCGTGTTTTGTGTCGGTCGGCTGTCAAGGTAAGGGACCAATCGCTCTCCGTCTTCACCGTTGTCAAGGTCCGCAATAGTGATGCAAAAACAGTTGCGCATTGTTTCGGAGAAGGACGCTGAGACGTGAACCTTTGGCCCGAAATTAGTACCTTCGCTAGAGATTACGGTTCGCGTGGCGTCTAATGGACAAATGAGCATTCTTGTAAGCACTAAGCGTCCTTGGTCGCATAGGCTACAAATCCAAGAATCCTGTTTTGATTCAAACGGATCATCGCAAGCGTCGCTTGGAATACTAAATAGTTCTCACTGGAAAACAGAACGTTTAAACGTGTAGTACGTCGGAATAGCGTGTGTTGTTTGATGTTCTCGAATTAGCATGATTGTGGTGCTGTCCTGCACATAAGTGACGATTTTCCCATGCACTTCATACCGCGCCGTCTTCACCTTTGCGGTTTACTTAAACGCTGGGAACTGACTCCCTCGCCCTTCCTGTTGATGTCGCAGGTGCTGAAGCTGATGAGGGACGTCTCCGGAGACCAGGAGGAGAGCGACGGCAGCGACATCTCCGGCTACCACTCCGACTCCGACTCCGCCATCATGACGTCAGGAAACTCACCCTACGTCAGCAAGTCGGCTAGATACAACTTCCTCTACAGATCAGGTCAGTGCCCGTGAAATGGCGACGTGCTTAACATTGGCCGTCTTTTTCTATGACAGCTTGGAATGGAGCTGGATTATAAATATAATCCCACATTACCAACATAAACACATTCTACGCGAACATAAACATAACTAAAAGAGACTGGAACAAGAAATGTCATCCACAAGAAGTAAGGTCAGGTCCCCATCTAGCGCTATGATTCGTCCACTTGTCATCTTGATTCTGGAATGCCTCGCTGTCTTATGTGAGCGTGTCTGCGCACGGCGGGAAACATCCAGGCTGCATCTAATCTGAGCGAGAATATCCATTTCATTCGGCGTCCTCGAGACCGGTGAAACGGATACTTTGCATAGGAGCTCTATCTGCGCGAAGAGCGGTCGGCGAGGGCCGTCTGCCGAGTGCCGGCCACGCGCGTCCTCAGGTGATGGACGGACCAGCACGTCGGCCGGATCAGACGGGGTCATGTTGGGTCATACGGGGTCAGACAGCTGTCAGGGGTCGCACGAGGGCGCCTCCACCGGCCGGCCGAGCAGACATGCTAATGAATTGTCCCAGAGAGAAGCCGACTTCCTGAGGCGGCCGCGACCGCACTAATTAATTAACGCCGGCGTCTCCGAAACGCCACAGGTGCCGACGCACAATTTGTCTCCGGCTAATGATCTGAAATATGCGGGTGTGAAGCGGGAATGTCCGTCATTGTGTTCAGACACGGGTCACAGGCGGTCGCTCTTTTTGCGCGGCTATGACATTAGAAATGCTATTTGTGAACATAAGTGATGCACAAGATCGAGACCAGAAAATTTTAAATTGTAGTTTTATTGCGTCTTTGTAATTTACCAGTTTTATCGAAGATATCTGACGTTGGAGTCTTTACTCATCCAACCAGATTCATAAGGCTTTTTTATCTTTACAACAGAGGATAAAGAAATGCACAAATGTCTGTTATAAATGCATTTAAATTCACTTCGTTAGGTCCGCTCCTGCTGAAAAAAGGCTTCATTGGACCCACACTTGCCTACGTCGAACCATACCGTTTATGCGTTATTGGTTCTCACCCTCGATCAATAACTATACGAGCGCACCATGACGAAATCGCCCCTTTATAACCTCCTTCCCCTTCCCGCAATCAAGGCGCCATTCATTCAGTCCATCCCCACCTAGTATCCATAGCTAGCCCTCTGGCGCTATCTCCTGCCCGTTCATACACAGCCCGCTGACGGCAGTCGCAGTCCGGTGATCGGTTCTACCTTGAATGCCTGTTTACTCGGACGATCTGCTTCGCTTTCGTCTGCCCGTGGTAATGGCCGGCGGTGGGTGATGGAGACCACTGGTGGTCGCACGTGCCCTTCGGCTACCCCCGGGGTGGCCCCGCCGGCCGAGTGATGAGGAGAGGGGACTGTTAGGCTCCCTGTACGACTTCGCACTGCCTCTCTGCGGCACTATTGACAAGCCATGACGGAGTGCGCGGTGGGCAGACACGCCCCTCCGCGCTGTCTGTCGGCCTCCCGACGGAAGAGGCCGTGTGGCGCGTGACATTAGATGACGTGAGGCGTGACGGGTGACGTGAGATGACGTGACGCGTGACGTGGGACAGCGTGACGTGACGTGGCAGACACGGCGCGACGCGGCGGGTGGGGACGTGGAAAGGAGCAGCGTAACAGGTGTCGGGGATGGCGAAGCCAGATGTCCTCGCGCCGGATACTGAAAATTCTGACACCGCGTTGGATTCGAGACATGGTGGTTTTGAAAGGGACAGAGAGGGAGAGAGAGGAAAGAGGAAAGGGAGAGAGAGAGAGGAGAGAGAGAGAGGGAGAGAGAGAGAAAGAGAGAGGAGAGAGAGAGAGAGA